TATAGTTGAGTACATGTTTGCATAAATGTATGCATATATCCAAGGAGTGTCCATGAAGTTTGGGTACGAGAACGTGTTAGGTACTTATCGCGTATGGGTGCAGGTGGGAAGCTATGTGTGCAGGTGGGGTCTATGTGTAGGAAGGGATGGATAGAGTTTTAGCGACATGGAGGTGGCGAATTGCATTCCCTTCTGCATCAGTCCTTCATGCAGTCACCACAAGCTCCGACCATTGCCAAATTGTAGCTCGTCTTGTGAACGAGGATCGAAGAAAGATTACACTTCATTGCCGCTTCCGGTTCGAGGCTATGTGGCTAGAATATGAAGGTTGTGAGGGTGTGATCTAGTCAACTTGGAATGAGGGAAGTGACATTGATCAAATTGCTAAACAGATGTAGGTGTGGGTATGAGATGATGCTATGGAACATAAATGTTTTTAGGAATGTTCAACAATTGCTTAAGATGAAGAAGACTAGTTAAAATGAATTGTGTGCTATCAAAGGTCAAGTTTGGTGATTGATGAGATAAAAAGTTTTAAGTGTGAGATTAACTGAGTTATTTAAGAAGGGAGAGGCGATATGGAAACAACATTGAGGGCGGAATGGTTATATGAGATCAATATACGACATATTTTCATAAGAAAGCCACACTGAAAAAGCAAAACTTTATTAAAGGGCTTCACGATGATTACGGTAGGTGGCAAGAACTAGATAATGTGGGAAATCTAATTTCACAATATTTTGATGAGATTTTCCGCACTTTAGGAGATCATAGATTTGACCGGATTCTTAATGTTGTACAAGAAGTGGTGACTGATGATATGGCCAAAACTTTCGACAGTGATTTTAGGGTGGAAGAGGTGATTACAGCGCTAAATCAAATGATGTCAACAAAGGCGTTGGGACCAGATGGGATGTCGGTTTTGTTTTACCAAAAATAATGGCATATCATAGGGAGAGAGATAATTTTTGCAGCGTTGAACTGCCTAAATTTGGGGGTTATGCTTTCTAAGGTGAATCATACAAATATAGTTCTCATTCCAAAGAAACAAAACCCAAAAGAGATTATCGACTTTCGCGCTATTAGTCTATGCAATGTCATCTACGAGCTTATCTCAAAGGTTCTTATGAATCGCCTGAATTGCATTCTTCCATATATTATCTTTGAGTTACAAAGCGCTTTTGTGACGGGCCGACTGATAACATATATTTTAGTGTATTTCGAGTTGATGCATATGATGAAAAAGAAGAATAAAGGTAGACGAGGTTTCATAGCTTTCAAACTGGATATAAGCAAGGCCAAGGATATAGTTGAGTGGGATTTGTTGGAGGGTATTATGGCTCGGATGGGGCTTCTGTCACGATGGATTTCTCAAGTATCCTATGCGTCCGCTCTGTTACATATTCTATACTCTATAATAGTCCATCGTTGCACAAAGCTTCACCATCTCGTGGGCTCCAATAAAGTGACCCATTGAACCCTTATTTGTTATTATTTGTGCTGAGGGTTTCTCTTACTTCTTAGACAAGCTGAGTTATAGAAGAGTATCCATGACTTTGGTGCTGGTTGCAGAGGTCCTTCACATCTTTTCTTTGTTGATGATAGTCTGCTATTTGCTAGGGCCACGAAAAGTGAATGTCGGAAGCTATCGCATATAATCCATATGTATGAGGAACCATGGGTCAGTTGATAAATCTGCAAAAATCATCATTATTTTTTTTCTCCAAATGTGACAATTCCAATAAAACATACCCTGTTGAATATGGTAGGAGTGGGGGAGGTACAAGTCCATGACAACCTTGGTCTTCCAACTCTAATTGGTTGATCAAAGAAGCACATTTTCAACTCGTTAAGAGGCCGTATGTGGAACAAGATTCATGGCTGGAAGGGGAAATTGTTATCTTAGGCGGGTTGAGAAGTTTTATTCAAAGCAGCGGGTTAAGCTTCGCCAACTTGTGCAATGTCTTGTTTTTTATTGTTCAAAACTATGTGTGCGGACCTGAATGGCATCTTAGCTCGTTTTTTGTGGGGAGCTAAATGATACAGATAGGAAAATTCGTTGTCTAAGTTGGTCGATGATGTGCGAAGGAAAAATCAAAGGCGGTATGGGTTTTTGATTTTGAGACTTTGAGGCGTTCAATTTAGCTTTGCTTGCAAAACAAGGTTGGGATATGCACCATCATTTGCTTGGTGAAGTATATGGTCTTCTCTTGATGTGCTGCGTGGTGCGGGTAGATGGAGCATTGACAATGGGAGTAGTATTTGTATTTGAACAGATTCATGGATACCAAAGCCATACTCGTTCAAACCAATTTGTCCACAGAGTGTGCTTCCAGTTGATGCTACTGTGTCGGACCTTTCTGATACGATGACAAAGATGTGGGATGAAAATTTGGTGCATCAAGTTTTCCTGTCATTTGAAGCTGATGAAATCTTGCAAATTCCTCAGTCGTAATCTACATACAGATGTTCAACTATGGCATTGGGAGAACAATGGCGAGTTTACAGTAAAGGGTTGGTGAACGTGTGTTACAGACTTGTTGATGGGAGGTCAAGGCTGGCCCTTCTTCGGATGGGAAACATAGAGCATGGTGGAAGAATGTTTGGGGGAGCGTGATACCCAACAAGATCAAGATTTTCATATGGTAGTGCTTGTAGGGATATTCTACTGCTGATGGAAAATCTGGTCCAGTGGCAAGTTGCTAGGAGGGCATGGTGCACATCTGGTGTGGCACAACAAATGTGACAACCAAGCACACTTAGGTTGCAGGTACGCTTAAGAAGTGTGGCATATTCTGGCATGTCAAGGACGTGTACAGGTCATCAATGGAATTGCTCAATCTTTTGATGAATGGCTGCAGAACTGGATGGTTCAGTTAGACGACGGCAAAAAGGGCTTGGCTCTTATAAGTTTATGGGCCATGTGGAATGACCGTAACACCGTGGTGCATGGAGAAGCTGCATGACAACCTGAGGTAACAACAATGTTCTGTTGCAACTTCTGTATAGAGTTCAATGCTTCAAAATTATGGGAGGGTCAACGTCGCGACATGCAAAACTCAGTGAACTGTTGGATACCCCTGCGATTGGATCCTTATAAGATTAATGTCGACGGTGTTTTGTTTAAAAGTTCTAATCAACATGGATTTGGCGTTGTAATCAGAGACCACAAAAGGGAAGTGTATGCATCAACGACGAAGGGGTGGTGAGGGTTGTTTATGTTGTGGAAGCTCTAGCAGTTATAAGAGGATGTCGATTAGCTCAACGACTCCAGTTCTTACTGGTGGAGGTAGCAAGTGATTGTCAGGAGCTCATTAGAGCTTTGCAAAACCACACTGTGTTGCGATCAGTGATTGGTGATGTCCTACATGACATTTGGGATCTTTTAATTTTCTTTAACGATGTTGCTGTTACTCATGTTAAAAGAGCAGGGAATAAGCTAGCCTATGCTATGGCTAGACTCGCTCAATCTGTTGACAGTTGTAGAGTGTGGATGAAGGAGGTGCCGGTATCGGTACAACATCTAGTCCATGCTGACATGTTTTGTTCCTAAAATATGAGTTTGTTTCCATAAAAAAAAAGCCTAAGGGCAGTTATCCTAACCCGCAATTTTTCTTGAAATCAGTAATCAAATCCGAGCCTAGAAAATATACAACCTAGTAGCTGGACTTGAGTCCAGATACTGTGGCATAGGGTATAATGTTTAACACTATCACATTTGAGATACAAATGCAGATTTCGGTTGGGTTTCGGTTGGATTACCCAAAATCTGTTTGCATCTCTGTTGGCTGTTAAGAGTGATTCTCAAAAGGAAATTTTGTTTTAAAGATTAGGAAGGATGAGGATAAAACGAAAGCAAGACTTAAATCATTTTAGCATGAAATGGAAAAGAGGATCTAAAATGTAATGACAACCCATATATGTTGTTGGCTTGCAAAGGCCCATGAACGTATATGGATTAGGATAAGCTATTTGGAAATAATTGTCTCATAAAAATTAACCTTATTAAAGTCATGAGTCCAAGCATATATCCATCAAATTATTTTTTCAATGTGGGACTACATTCCATTTCATGTTTTTTCTATACCAAATCCTCACCTTAGTTGAATGGATGTGACACATTCCTAACTAGTCTCCACCTTGGCTCGGATCTAGTCGAGTCCAACTTGAGCCAGTACGGTTGGCTGATGTAGACAATGTCTCAGCACTTCGTAGATGAATAGAGTAACATTGGAGGCTCGTGTGACGATATGTGCATCCAAAGGAACCCTAACACGTGTACAGGTTACACCAAAGCCACATGTAATGTCACTTGCCTGAACGAGTAGTAGCCTATGCAAACAAATTGGGAATCAAGCAAGCTTTTCTACAAAAGGCCTATCTGACCACGAGTTCTGATACCAATTTTTTGGGTTGCAAAAACCATGAATGGAGTTGGACTAGGCTAATCTACTTGGACTCAAATTGACTAAAAAGTGTTAGACCCTATTTGAGTCATGCATCCAATCATATTAGCCATGTATCCATTAGCCATGTATCCACCTAAGTGTTTTTTTCCAAGTTGAGCCTAAATCCCATCTCATGCCTTTCGTTATACCAAACCTACACCTGAACTGAATGTGTGCGAGACACTCCCACATATATGTGAGGTGAGGTTTCAGCAAAGACTAGCTGTTTAAACATCTGTAAGATAAACATTGGGTTCCTATGGTAGTTGACGGTTGTGCGAGGAAACTAGATTCACAAGCCTCTTGAAATTTATCTGGAAATAGTCACTTTTCTGTGGTCATTTTCAGCACATTAAGAGTTCTGTTGGTAGTTTGGTTTGTTGATGATAAATGGAGAGACAATTGAATTTCGAAAAAAAAAAAATCATTGCTGACTTCATTATTTCCTGCAGAGGCTAAAGGTTGATAAAGCGCAGGATGAGAAGAGAGATGCTAAAGGGGTTCAGGTTATGGACGTGCAGAGCCGTGAAGCGGGTAATGCGCATAAACTTGATCTTATTAATCTATTTTCTTGGAAACATGGTTTTCTAAGTAACTTTTTATATCTTGTGCAGATACCTGTTAAATAAAATGGTTCAGTGGCAGAGAAACAAGTTTCCTGTACAATTATTGATAACCAATGTCTGATGATCAGAATGACGTGTTGCATCGGTACAGAAGAAAGGAAATATTGTATAAATTTTTGGAAATTTTACTACTTGAGATGGGGGTGCTTTATCTTTTTCCTTTGAGGTGCATCGCCTCAAGTGTGCGCAACCTGTTGGATAATTTCACTGGAATAGACTGTAAAATGATGTACGAAATCTATACTAGTGCTAGTTGAACCCCGACTTTCACTTATTTCATGATCTGGTCATTTTTCCCGCAAAAAAGAGGAGATGAGTGATCTTGTTCTCTTTTTATTCGTTTCTCTTTGGCAACAGGTCAAGTTGGATTTTACAAATCATCAGAAAAACTCATATATATTCTCCTAGCTATTGAGAGGCGTGGAAACACTTCTGCGGTTGGAGATCGAGCCGTCTGCATGTGCAGATATAATTGCTTGGTGGACTAAATAGCACTTACATACCCTTTTGTTTCATCTACTTCTCACTTATATACCTACCCGTGTGTTTGGTAGTAAAAAAATAACCTAAAGTTTTTTAAACTTGCACTTATATACCCTCTTTTGTTTTCGGTAGCACTTATACCCTAAAGTTATTAGAATTGGTAGCACTTATACCCTAAAGTTATTAGAATTGGCACCTGAATACCCTAAAATTTTTAAATTTGACGCTTAAATACCCTAAAGTTTTTAAATCTTGCACTTAAATATCCTCAAATTTGCATGAGTGAGGGTATTTATGCTCAAGTTTTAAAAACTTTAGGGTACTTGAGCGCTAGTTTAAAAAAAAATTTAGGGTATTTTTTTTGCAATCAAGTGCAAGTTGGGGTATATATGTGAAAAGTAGGTGAAACAATAGGTGATATAAGTGGTATTTCGCCTTGTTTAGATGTATTCCTTTGTGATGTATGCTTGATAAGACTTGAGTCAATTTTAAGCAATCTTGTGAGTAGTAAGTAGGTTTTGCGTAATGAAGAGACAAATAGAAGCGGGGTACTTATGTAGTGCGATATGAGTATAGGATGTCTCAGAAATTGATATAAAACATCACCTTTATACATTAGAATGTTAGGCAATTAAAAAATAGTTTGTACAAAACTAAGTGAATGTTATAATGGGTTTATGGATGTACACATAATATGATGAAACATAAGCGTATTCCTAAAAGATTAGAGGTTGTTCCCGCTAAGGGAAAAAGAGAGAGAGAGGATTGATTATAGAGGTTTGATCATGTGCGATGGGGTTCACTAAATGCACAAGTTGAAAAAAAAGTGATAAGATTATATACTTGATAAAAAAATGAATTTTACAGATTGGAAGCAACCATAAGGATGTGATAATGATAAACTTAATTAAAAAAAAAATAGACCTTTAGAGATCAAATGAAAGAACTCAAGACTTCGATGTTAGTAGTAAAGAAGTAGGCCTCTATGTACAATGTAGTTTCGAATAAAGACTTGAGGTGTTGGCCAGAATGGAAATAGGGGTATCTACATATCCATGATGGAAGACTTCATTATTTCTAGCAATTATTTCAGAAAACTCTGCACCTGACTCCTCAATCCGAATGGGGCCATTTTCATCTGCAGCTTTGCCCACCATTTATAACTAACCAGAACATTAACCTTTGCAGATATATATCGCTTTCACAAAGTGAATGGAAACTTTCAGAAAACCCTTTTAAATTTGGGCGTTTCTCAAATAATACCTTTCTTGACTTTCAAAATAGGCTAAATACCCATATTGGTATTTTAATTCCACCATATCTACCAAGAAGGTATTTTAATTAGGCAAACCTGTTTTAAGGCATTTTAATTGATTCAACTTACCAACAAGGGCCTTTTCTCGTCGGCGACCAGTTTTCCGTCGAGAGCTCATCACGTGCGTGTCACGTGATGACTTAAACTGTTTTTTAGCTGCTGATGTGGCACAGATTTTCTGACGTGGTAATGTTTAAATGCGGGAATTAACCCTCTAAAAATCCCAATTCACCCAAAATATGACAGATCTGTGCCACATCAGCAGCTAAAAAATAAAGTTGAGCCTAAATCCCATCTCATGCCTTTCGTTATACCAAACCTACACCTGAACTGAATGTGTGCGAGACACTCCCACATATATGTGAGGTGAGGTTTCAGCAAAGACTAGCTGTTTAAACATCTGTAAGATAAACATTGGGTTCCTATGGTAGTTGACGGTTGTGCGAGGAAACTAGATTCACAAGCCTCTTGAAATTTATCTGGAAATAGTCACTTTTCTGTGGTCATTTTCAGCACATTAAGAGTTCTGTTGGTAGTTTGGTTTGTTGATGATAAATGGAGAGACAATTGAATTTCGAAAAAAAAAAAATCATTGCTGACTTCATTATTTCCTGCAGAGGCTAAAGGTTGATAAAGCGCAGGATGAGAAGAGAGATGCTAAAGGGGTTCAGGTTATGGACGTGCAGAGCCGTGAAGCGGGTAATGCGCATAAACTTGATCTTATTAATCTATTTTCTTGGAAACATGGTTTTCTAAGTAACTTTTTATATCTTGTGCAGATACCTGTTAAATAAAATGGTTCAGTGGCAGAGAAACAAGTTTCCTGTACAATTATTGATAACCAATGTCTGATGATCAGAATGACGTGTTGCATCGGTACAGAAGAAAGGAAATATTGTATAAATTTTTGGAAATTTTACTACTTGAGATGGGGGTGCTTTATCTTTTTCCTTTGAGGTGCATCGCCTCAAGTGTGCGCAACCTGTTGGATAATTTCACTGGAATAGACTGTAAAATGATGTACGAAATCTATACTAGTGCTAGTTGAACCCCGACTTTCACTTATTTCATGATCTGGTCATTTTTCCCGCAAAAAAGAGGAGATGAGTGATCTTGTTCTCTTTTTATTCGTTTCTCTTTGGCAACAGGTCAAGTTGGATTTTACAAATCATCAGAAAAACTCATATATATTCTCCTAGCTATTGAGAGGCGTGGAAACACTTCTGCGGTTGGAGATCGAGCCGTCTGCATGTGCAGATATAATTGCTTGGTGGACTAAATAGCACTTACATACCCTTTTGTTTCATCTACTTCTCACTTATATACCTACCCGTGTGTTTGGTAGTAAAAAAATAACCTAAAGTTTTTTAAACTTGCACTTATATACCCTCTTTTGTTTTCGGTAGCACTTATACCCTAAAGTTATTAGAATTGGTAGCACTTATACCCTAAAGTTATTAGAATTGGTAGCACTTATACCCTAAAGTTATTAGAATTGGTAGCACTTATACCCTAAAGTTATTAGAATTGGTAGCACTTATACCCTAAAGTTATTAGAATTGGTAGCACTTATACCCTAAAGTTATTAGAATTGGTAGCACTTATACCCTAAAGTTATTAGAATTGGCACCTGAATACCCTAAAATTTTTAAATTTGACGCTTAAATACCCTAAAGTTTTTAAATCTTGCACTTAAATATCCTCAAATTTGCATGAGTGAGGGTATTTATGCTCAAGTTTTAAAAACTTTAGGGTACTTGAGCGCTAGTTTAAAAAAAAATTTAGGGTATTTTTTTTGCAATCAAGTGCAAGTTGGGGTATATATGTGAAAAGTAGGTGAAACAATAGGTGATATAAGTGGTATTTCGCCTTGTTTAGATGTATTCCTTTGTGATGTATGCTTGATAAGACTTGAGTCAATTTTAAGCAATCTTGTGAGTAGTAAGTAGGTTTTGCGTAATGAAGAGACAAATAGAAGCGGGGTACTTATGTAGTGCGATATGAGTATAGGATGTCTCAGAAATTGATATAAAACATCACCTTTATACATTAGAATGTTAGGCAATTAAAAAATAGTTTGTACAAAACTAAGTGAATGTTATAATGGGTTTATGGATGTACACATAATATGATGAAACATAAGCGTATTCCTAAAAGATTAGAGGTTGTTCCCGCTAAGGGAAAAAGAGAGAGAGAGGATTGATTATAGAGGTTTGATCATGTGCGATGGGGTTCACTAAATGCACAAGTTGAAAAAAAAGTGATAAGATTATATACTTGATAAAAAAATGAATTTTACAGATTGGAAGCAACCATAAGGATGTGATAATGATAAACTTAATTAAAAAAAAAATAGACCTTTAGAGATCAAATGAAAGAACTCAAGACTTCGATGTTAGTAGTAAAGAAGTAGGCCTCTATGTACAATGTAGTTTCGAATAAAGACTTGAGGTGTTGGCCAGAATGGAAATAGGGGTATCTACATATCCATGATGGAAGACTTCATTATTTCTAGCAATTATTTCAGAAAACTCTGCACCTGACTCCTCAATCCGAATGGGGCCATTTTCATCTGCAGCTTTGCCCACCATTTATAACTAACCAGAACATTAACCTTTGCAGATATATATCGCTTTCACAAAGTGAATGGAAACTTTCAGAAAACCCTTTTAAATTTGGGCGTTTCTCAAATAATACCTTTCTTGACTTTCAAAATAGGCTAAATACCCATATTGGTATTTTAATTCCACCATATCTACCAAGAAGGTATTTTAATTAGGCAAACCTGTTTTAAGGCATTTTAATTGATTCAACTTACCAACAAGGGCCTTTTCTCGTCGGCGACCAGTTTTCCGTCGAGAGCTCATCACGTGCGTGTCACGTGATGACTTAAACTGTTTTTTAGCTGCTGATGTGGCACAGATTTTCTGACGTGGTAATGTTTAAATGCGGGAATTAACCCTCTAAAAATCCCAATTCACCCAAAATATGACAGATCTGTGCCACATCAGCAGCTAAAAAATAGTTTAAGTCATCACGTGCCACGCACGTGACGAGCTCTCGCCGGAAAACTGGTCACCGACGAGAAAAACTGACCTCTGTTGGTAAGTTGAATCAATTAAAATGCCTTAAAGCATGTTTGCCTAATTAAAATACCTTTTTGATAAATGGGGTGGAATTAAAATACCAATATGAGTATTTAGCCCTTTCAAAATGTCACAAAACCCACCTTACTTCTTAGGATTCTCAGAGAATCTCCTTCAACTTTCAACATTTTCCAAAATACATGGCACATGGGTAGGTAAATTATGCAGGGGAATTTTTTGCCAGTATAAATTGTGGTTCGCACCTTTAGGGAAGTTTTTTGCTAGTAGTTTGAAGAGGGTTTGCTGAGAACCCCAAAACTTTAGGGTGTTTTGTGACATTTTAAAAGTCAAGGGGCTTATATGAGAAACTCCTAAACTTAGGAGGTGGTTTTGTGAGATTTATTACTCTTTATAAAATTCCCTCAAACTCGTTTATCGACTGCCTCCATTTCTTTCCTGAGATTTTAAAAGCTATTATCAATTAACTTCTCTCTGCCCTCAAACTGTCCAGGGAAATGCTGCAATGAGTTCATTAACGATATTTAAGCTGAATTTTGCGGAGATATTTGGTTCCATTGCCTCATTTTCTATCATTTGTAGCCCTTCTAAAATTCGATGTCCCCAGATATGTTGATGGTATCCATATGCCTGGACTAAGGTTTGTACTTACCTCTACTTTATCATTTATCTCATTTTTTTAGTATATAATTATCATCTAATCTTTTCTCTCTTTAGGTGTGTAACATTATTTTTCTTGATTCTCCCGTTAGAACTGGATTGTCCTATTTGGGTCAATCGCAAGATTATACAACTTCTGACACCAAATTACGTAAGGAAGCTGGACTTGAAGTGCTTTTAAGTCTCAATATTTGTTAAGCTTGTAATAGAATTTCTTTATACATATGTATGTGCATATTATTCCTTATATATAGCTAGAAATTGTTGATCAACAATTTTCCAAATTTTTTTTGGTTGCCTTCATGAGTCCTTTTTCTCCCCTCAACTCTGTTAAGAACTCCTCTTTTTGTTATATTAGTGATAATAAGAACAAATTTTTGTTTTAAACCCATTTCAACTTTTTTTTACCGGAATCGACCGACTCTCTTTTTATTTAGCGGAATCGACCCACTTCTCGGGAAGTGGGTTGATTCCGCTAAATAAAAACAAAATCGGTCGGTTTGTAAAATAAAAAATTAGAATGGGTTTAAATCAAAAATTTGTTCGTGATAATAATGTCTTTGTGAATGCCTCCATCCAAGTCATTTTTACCTAGCTTTAGTCCTTGAATCTTTTGTATCATGTCATTCATAACTAACACACTCATCTTTCTCCATTTCTGCATCTAAACCATCCTAAGAAATCTTCCACTCGTGCCAATTTTAGCTACATATCACTTCCCAAGACATTCATTCTTACCTTATCTTTTTATCTTGTTACTTACACATTTATCGCACCAGGCTCATTCTTGCCACACTTGGTTTCTGACCTTGTTGTCCACCATTCACATCCAATCTGTAAAGCATGTGTGGCTAATATTATTGCTATTTTCTTGTTAAAGTAACTCCAGTTGTCCAATTTAGGAGCTACTAACAATGAACCTATGAAATTGATGCATATGCATTGTGTTTTCCGCTTGCTTGGCAATTGCGCAGCTACTTGGCAAATAGACGCATGCATATTTTCATTCTTCTTTGAGAATTTTACAAGCTACACAGATTTTGCCATTGATCTGAGACTTATTCATCTAAACTGTGTTATTGGTAAGAAGTAAGCACTCAATACTATGTATTAAAGCAGAGTCTTAAGAAATTAGAACATGTTTCTTGTTCATTTATGCAAGTATCTTTTTATAGTGGAAATCTTTTTTATGCTATCTTATTGTTCCGTGTAGAACTTGTCCTACCAAAATCTAGTTTATCCTTTAAAAAAAAAAGATCTGATGGACTGGCCTCACAAACCACCACATGTCTTTTCAGCACGTTTTTGTCCTCACTCACGCGCTCTCTGAAAAACTTTCCCAGGGGGTCACCCATCAAGCACGCTTAACTTTGGAGTTTCTAAGAGTTGGATTCCCGAAAAAAAGATGCATCTTGGTGGTATGAGTATTCCAATCAAATCTATCAATACTAATCACATCACCCTCTCAAGGGTTGGGGTATTACAATAAATTTGGTCTTAATCTTTAGATGTGGCCGTAATTATCTCTTTGAAATTCATCCAGGGTTATCTTGTTGGCAACCCAGTAACCGATGGTCAATTTGATAACGGGGCAGTAGTTCCATATTTTCATGGGATGGGACTTATATCTGATGAGCTTCACAAGGTGATGTGAGTAAAGTCTTCCTGAATTCTTTATGCTCTCTGTGCATTTATTAATAGAAGTCAAATGTTTTCAGCATGTTGCATTGATTTCTTGCATATATAAATCACAAATTGTCATAGGTACTAGTTGTGTGAAGACATGCATGTGTACATGTTTTACACACATAAAGACACATTGTACATTTTATAAACATTGATAGGATGATCGAAGAAGTGTTACAATTTTTATATAGCACATACGCTAATACATACACACACATGGGTACAACACATGGACATATTATGTATACATACATACATGCATACATAATAGAGTTTGGTCCTTCACAAAGGATTTTGAGCAGCTCCAAATCCTTTCCTTTGGATTCCAATGTTAGGCCGTCCATTTTGTAATCTAGTCTTAAATATGACATACCTTATACAACCTCTGTTTATGTACATTTTAAGTAAGGAGATCAACAATCATAGTTTGACTATCCAGTGAATGTATTATTGACTTTTTGAGGTGTTAAAATTTTATGTAGCACATACACTAATGCATGCTAAACATGTGTACAACACACTGACAAATTATGTATACATGCATACATAATAGAGTTTGGTCCTTCAGGAAAGCATTTCCAAATCCTTTCCTTTGGATTCCAATGTTAGGCCGTCAATTTTGTAGTCTAGTCTTAAATATGACACACCTTATACATATTCTGTTTATGTACAGCTTGAGTAATGGAGATCAACAGGCATAGTTTGACTATCCAGTCAATGTATTATTGACTTCTTGTGACCATTGGAAAAAATGTTCGTTCTTAATTTGTTTTATTCAAGTTCTTTTTAAGTATATCTCTAGTCTTCTTTCTTCCATCAATATGATCTTATAGTTTTTCCTAATTATTTCCAACTATCTGATTCAGTTGTCCTCAATATTATGCTCAACAGGTGCTAAATCTAACTTCTGAAATGTGCACTAATTATTTCCGCCATCTCTTTATATACTTCCCCTCATCATTGTAGCTCTTTCACTTATTTTAAACATATTTTTGAAAATTATATTTCATTATTGGTCAGCATTTTGATCCTTAAAATATTTCTAGTCTTAATGCCACCTAATAGAATTTTTGCTTCAGTTCCATGAGTATCCTATGATTTTTGAACCATTCACTTTGATTTTATGAATTGCATCTCTCTTCCTCACTTCCTTCATCAGTTGCTCGATCCTTAAAAAATCCCTGTATTTTTTAAACACCAATTCATACAGGCATCCTTTCTTCTCACCATTTAGTGAGATTATATTCAGTTTTTGTTATACAAACTCTAAATCCTCTGATTCCTAAGTTCTTCTTAACCTTTAGGAGCAGCTCGGTGCGTGAAGCTCTCACTATATGTGGGGTCTGGGAATGGGTCGGACCACTCTTATATATCAACAAATATTTTCTTTCTAGAATGGTTAAGTTTTTCCTTTCTGTTCCTCTAGTCATCTAGTCTGATATATCATCAACAAATATTTACCATTGGACTTCATCTTGAGTGTGCCCCTAAGTTCATGCATTATAGTGTAAAAAGAAAACGATAAAATTCAGATCTTTGTATAGATATATGGTGGCAGAAAATGGATCGCTCTAATACATGCATGGATAACTCAGATATTAATGATTCATACAACAATGGACAGGTATCTGCTATGGAAAATGTTTCTTAGCTCAACTTTATCAAAGCAGTTTCTTTGATGCGTTTAAACTTTCCACACTATGCCTTGATACACAAAGACAAAATCTGGTCTAATAACTAACTATTATGAGTTGCTTTGTTTTCTGCTGCAGCAGCCATATGGCTGGTAAAAAATACAAATCCATTAGAGCATAGATCTGAATCCGATTGAAGAGAATTTTGTATTGCTATGCAATTTAGGCAAATATTTTCTGTTAATGGTTTGCTTTGGTCATCCCTTTCCTATTCTTGTGATGGTTTTTGATAGATGTTCCTGGTAGATTTTCTATTAGATTACATCTCAGATTATCATCTGTGATCCCTTGCGGTCTTTAATTTTCACTTTTGTTCCTTGGCAATTATTGATAACAACATTTTGAACAGAACTGCTTGTTAGATTAGGTGGAGACCCTAATTTCACCTATCCTCTTCTGCCAATCATCTCATTTTTTCTCTAGGTTGCATTTGTGAGATGTCCCTACAACAGTGCCACTACAACAAAATTCTGAAGTTTTGGTGAGGGCTGAAGGTTATGAGTTTATATTCTGACATGCCTCTACATCTTGAATACTTATGCGCTGGTCAGTGCCTCGACTCACTAAGCTGCGTCTTTCCCCCCCTAGGAATTTGAACCTGGGTTGCTTTGATACCATGTCAAAGATCCTTATCACTAAACCAAGACTCCAAAGTTGGTTGAGGGTTATAATTTTTTTTTACATGAGCAGCATCATCACCGGCTATAAAGAGAAAGGTAACAAATTCTGCAGTAACTGGTGTAATTGTCATTCTAACACTTTGAAGACTCATAAGCTGCTTTCCTGGGCAGTGCTTTTTTGCTTTTCACTATTTCTGAATTTACTACTTTCGGATTCTGTTTCTTTTACCTCCGTTATACTTTTTATGTATAAATGCATAGATGGCTTGATAGCTACAACCTCTTTTTTTTCAGTCAGCAGAGAGACGATGCGGAGGGCAATATGCAGGTCCTGTGAATGCAAGATGTGCAGAACCTATAAGGTCGATGTTGAGGATCTGCGTTGTCGTTTGGCTCAGAAACCTGCCGAAATCAGTCCTATTCTTCCTTCACAGTGCACCACCAAGGACTCAAAGGGGAGAGCTCACTGATCTCCTCGACCCGTCACTCACAAAGAGGATTTTTTTACATGAGCAGCATCATCACCGGCTATAAAGAGAAAGGTAACAAATTCTGCAGTAACTGGTGTAATTGTCATTCTAACACTTTGAAGACTCATAAGCTGCTTTCCTGGGCAGTGCTTTTTTGCTTTTCACTATTTCTGAATTTACTACTTTCGGATTCTGTTTCTTTTACCTCCGTTATACTTTTTATGTATAAATGCATAGATGGCTTGATAGCTACAACCTCTTTTTTTTCAGTCAGCAGAGAGACGATGCGGAGGGCAATATGCAGGTCCTGTGAATGCAAGATGTGCAGAACCTATAAGGTCGATGTTGAGGATCTGCGTTGTCGTTTGGCTCAGAAACCTGCCGAAATCAGTCCTATTCTTCCTTCACAGTGCACCACCAAGGACTCAAAGGGGAGAGCTCACTGATCTCCTCGACCCGTCACTCACAAAGAGGATCGCAGAAAGGGGGTTAGAGCACAAAGCTCACAGGAGCACAAAACTCGCAGAAGGAGGAAGATCGCACATAGCAGAGGGGAGCTCAAGCTCAGTTTTTCTCCTCACTCTCTCTTCTTCCTCTTTTTCCTCTACTGAGCTACTATCAACCCATTACCCTTATATAGGGAAGGGGGCAGCCGACACGGGAGAGAGGCTAGGGGGGAAAACAAAGGAGGGAGCCGACCTAGGGATGGAAGATGAGATTCACAGCGGCGGCCATCAGATCACAGAGATCGGAGGGCATTTAGAGCTATCGGGTAGGAAGAAGAAAATAGAGGAGCTAGGGCACAAGTAGTGGGGAGCTGGGCTTTTAGAGTAACGGGCCAACTTATTGAGCCAACAAAAAACAACAATCTCCACCTTTGACCCAAGGTAGTGCACAGAAGGAAAAAACACGGAACTGCAGGACTCATCATCGCTAAATTATTACCTGTATAATCACAAAGAAGATATAAGCAATGGAAGAGAATACACTAAGTAAACTCAGATCACAAAGATCGGGGTAAAATCACCAAGCATACCAAGTCCACAAAGGACCGAACTCTACCAAACGGTCATCGAGTTCAAAGGAAAAAAATCACAAAGCTACTAACAAGCACAAAGCAAGTTAATAGGCCACAAAGGCAACACACAAAGCAAAGGAAAATTACCCAAAATCAAAATTCAAGATTCTTTGACACGATATAAATTTTTCAGCAGGCAAACACTTAGTACCCATGTCAGCAGGATTAAATTCTGAGGGAATTTTCTCTAACTTGACAATACCCTTTTCAACTATATCCCGAATGTAATGAAATCTAACATCAATATGTTTAGTTCTATCATGAAAAACAGGATTTTTGCAAAGTTGAATAGCAGATTGACTATCAGAAAATACAACCACATTTTTATCAAGAAAACCAATTTCAGATATAAGGCCCCTAAGCCAAATAGCTTCTTTAAAAGCTTCAGTGGCAGCAACATACTCAGATTCAGTAGTAGATAAAGTAACAATGGGTTGTAATTGGGATTTTTAACTTATGCAAGAGCCACACAAAGTAAACACATAGGAAGTGGTAGATTTTCTATTATCCCTATCATTTGCATAATTGGAATCTACATAGCCAGCAAGTTTGACACCTTCAGAACACTTAGAAAAGGTTAATCCTACATTCACAGAGGATTTCAAATATCTTAAAAGCCACTTCAAGGCATTCCAATGAGGCATACCAGGGTTTGACATATATCTACTCAAGCAACTAACCGCATATGCAATGTCAGGCCTAGTACTAACCATGAGATACATGACAGATCCTATAGCATTCGAATATGGCACCTTCTTCATATCATTTATTTCAGTTTCAGTATTGGGAGATTGATCCTTACTTAACACAAAATGGGAAGCAAGAGGCACATTCACAGATTTGGCATTAGACATAGCAAATTTACTCAAAATTTTTTCAACATATGAACTTTGGTTTAAAACTAGAGTAGATTTGTTTTTGTCCCTAATAATATTCATGCCTAGGATTCTTTTAGCATCACCTAAGTCTTTCATGTCAAAATTTTCACAAAGACATTTTTGAACATGCTCAATAGACTTCAAACAAGGACTAACAATCAACATGTCATCCACATAAATTACAAGAAATACAGGCACAGAGTCTATATTCTTATAATACAGGCAATGATCAGCAGAACTCCTTTTAAACTTTAAAGATTGCATGCATTTATCAAATCTAATATTCCATTGCCTAGGTGATTGTTTTAAACCATACAAAGCCTTTTTTAACAAACACACATGATCAGGCAATTTAGGGTCCACAAAGCCCTCAGGTTGGTGCATATAAATATTTTTATCAAGATCACCATGCAAGAAAGCAGTAGTTACATCCATTTGTTTTAATTCCCAATTAAAATGAGCAACTAAAGCAAGCATAATTCTAACAGTAGTGAATTTGACAACAGGAGCAAAAATTTCAGCATAATCAATTCCCTCCTTTTGAGTAAATCCCTTAGCTACTAACCTAGCCTTAAACCTAACACTTTCGGATTCTTGTTTTACGTTAAACAGCCACTTACAGTTCACTACAGAACAACTAGCAGGTTTAGGAACAAGTTTCCATGTTTGGTTAATTTTTAGGGATTCCATCTCGAACAACTAGCAGGTTTAGGAACAAGTTTCCATGTTTGGTTAATTTTTAGGGATTCCATCTCACTCTTCATAGCACTAATCCATTCTTCAGAATATTTTGACCTTAATGCTTCTTTATAAGTCTTAGGTTCATTGCACTCAAGGGATTCAAACACATTAAAGGCAAACTCAGACATATTACAATCAATCAAATTGCAATCTCTATATCTTTCAGGTTTCCTAATGGTTCTTTTATTTCTATCCCTAGTGAGTTGATAATCATTCAAATCATGCATGTTATCTATTTCCTGCATATCATGCTCCACCTCATTTGGAATAATCTCATCTTGATTTTCAATAATTATATCATTCAATTTTTCTTCAGGAAATGATTTGGGTTGATTAATAATAGGCTTTTGCTCCACCTCATTTGGAGCATCATTTTCAGGAATAGGAACATGTAAAGGTAAACAAGGAAATTCATTTTCATTAAAGACAACGTCTCTGCTTATCACTACCTTAAACCCCGGTTCACTCTTATTCCAAAGCCTATAACCTTTTACCCCTTGTAGCTCAACTTGGTACACATGCGGATGAAGCTTGAACTTGATCTTTAACTATGAATTGCATGTTGCTTCACTCCACAATTCCGCCAACCTCCATTTGATATGATCGTTATGGCGCAATCCATCCATCCTCCAACTGCGTTGTTTGTCTACAATAAATACGAAAACTCAAGTACTAGACAAACAACATTAGTGGTAAATTGTTTGTTAAACATCATCAAAACAAGAAGGCCAACAAGTTCTATTCGTCCTTTCAGCAACCTTATTCTACTGGGGTGTGTAGAGAACATATTTATGCCTTTTAATACCCCAAGTAGTACACAAATCATTCAATTGTTTGTTACAAAACTCAAGACCATTGTCTGTCCTAAGAGTTTTAATTTTCTTTCCCGTTTGGTTTTCAATCATAATTTTCCAGTTTTTAAATTTATCAAAAACTTCAGATTTTTGTTTCATGAGTAAAACCCAAACTTTCCTAGAATAATCATCAATTATGGAAAGAAAATATTGGTTCCCTCCATGCGTAGGCACACTAGAGGGACCCTACACATCAGCATGTAAATATTCAAGTACACTTAGTGCACTTAGACTGATTAGGAAAAGAAGAAGTAGGAAAAATAACCCTATGTTGTTTTCCTAGCACACAAGATTCACAGAAAGGGATGGGGGATATTTTATCACTACCAAAGTGACCTCCTTTATGCAAAATTTCTAATCCTTTATTACTCATGTGACCTAATCTATTATGCCATAAAACAGATTTATCACCTATCACAGAGTTAACAAAATCAAGCACAGGTTCAACATGACAAATATATAAATTATTTTGTTTTTTAGCAGTAAAAACAGCAAGAGACCCTTTCAGAATTTTCATAACCCCTTTACCCCATTTTCCCTCCAAACCATCATTTTCTAGAGATGCACAAGAAATCAAGTTATAACGTAAATCAGGAACATGCCTAACATCCTTCAAAGTAAACACAGAACCAGAGGAAAACCTAAGGCATACATCACCAGTTCCTAAAACATTGCATTTCTTTTCATTTGCCATTGACACAAAGCCATTCTCTATTTTCTTGTAGTTTGAAAACAATGTTTTAAAAGGAGTCATATGAAAAGTACAACCAGAGTCTACCAACCAATCTGATTTACGCAAAGGATCAGATAACACAGAGTTCAAATATGCATAATCACACAGATTATTAATCATGAAAATCTCACCCATTTTGCCCTCACAGACAGCCATATTAGCATGTTCATTTTGCTTATTTTTCTTAGGCTTAGGACAATCTTTAATAAAGTGACCAGTTTTATGACAATTATAGCATTTTTTAGCTTTAAACCTGGACTTAGATCTACCCCTTCTATTTTCAAATTTTTTCTTACTTGATTCCCCATTACTAGCATTCTTTTGGTTATTAGACCTATTCTGAGGCCTACCCCTCACATGCATAACCTCACCAGAATTTTTATTTCCCCCAGAATGTTTTAAATCTAATTCCTTACTCTTAAGACCATTGACCACAACATCAAGGGTAACCTCATCTCTACCATATTTAATAGCAGATTTCACATCACTATATGAGTCAGGAATAGCATTTAGAAGGGCAATAGGAGTATAATCATTTATATGTTTATCACCAGTTAACTTAATATCTAAAATAAGTTTTGTGAAAACATCTAGATTCTCCTCATTGTCCTTAGACATATCCAATCTAAATTTGAAAAATTTTTCAAGCAAAAACATTTTACTGGGCAAAGAGGTTTCAGTATAGAGTTCTTCAAGTTTATCCCAAAGAGTTTTAGCACATTCCAAAATTCTAACTTTTCTAATCACAGAGTCAGATAAGTTCAAATAAATTGTGGAACAAGCATTTTCGTTCATTTCCGCCCGTTTATTTTCAGTGTCAGAGGTTAAATAAGTCTGACCAACAGCCCTAACGGACTTCTGTTGAATTAAGATGCATTTTATTTTTTGTTTCCAAATGCTAAAATCAGATTTTCCGTTGAACGGAGCCATACCATATTGAATCATACTATATTGATTAGCAGCGGACATTTTTCACACAGAAAAACAAACAGCAAAAAAATAGCACGATTTTGGTAATTATCCGGCTCGAAACGTGTGAAGCAACTAGCACGAACAAATGAGAAGAACGATGAACACAAAGTTCTTGTTTCAATCTCTTTGATCTTTCACACGAGCACTCCCAAAAAACAGTATTTTAATTTCTGAAAAAATTTAACAGACCCAAAGATTTACTGCCCAAAGATTTACTGTAATTTTTCAACAAAGCCAGAGATTAAACTGTAATTGATACCATTGATTTAACTGTAATTATTCAAACAGATTGAATGCAGAGGAACAGCAAAAATGGCGATGCAGACAAGATCAAGCTAATAACTACAGAAACAGATTTCCGTCACCTCACCTGAGCGAAACCCTAGGGGAGGGTTTCGACCTTACCCTTGCGGCTGTCCGGCGGCCCATTACCCTTATATAGGGAAGGGGGCAGCCGACACGGGAGAGAGGCTAGGGGAGAAAACAAAGGAGGGAGCCGACCTAGGGATGGAAGATGGGATTCACAGCGACGGCCATCAGATCACAGAGATCGGAGGGCATTTAGAGCTATCGGGTAGGAAGAAGAAAATAGAGGGGCTAGGGCACAAGTAGTGGGGAGCTGGGCTTTTAGAGTAACGGGCCAACTTATTGGGCCAACAAAAAACAACAGTCGATAAATGGGGTAGGAGAGCTATGAATTTTAAAGAAAAAATATAACTATCTCAGAATATTTGAAACAAAATTTTAATTGCAATATGTAGAAGAACTTAATCGTGCCCATATATTGGACCCATCATGCTTTTATGTGACTCCAAGGACCCCCGAGTCAGCACTGATAGGAGAAAAGCAGTGAAAGATCTGTGTTAACTAGGATTACTTATATTGGACCCATCATGCTTTTATGTGACTCCAAGGCCCCCCGAGTCAGCACTGATAGGAGAAAAGCAGTGAAAGATCTGTGTTAACTAGGATTACTACTATGAAACTAAAAATAAGCTTTCAAGTTGAAAGGGAAATTCTGGATCCGGTTGCCCAATTTCTAGTTTTGGGCTCTCCTGGGTTTGTGCGCGCGTGAGAACCCCACTACTCCTAGGCCCATTCAACACACTAAGAATTAGACAACACATTTGCACACTCCAAACTCTTTATCTTTTTCCTATGTGGGACTAAAGGTAACACTCAATTCTGAAATACACTCAAAACTCCTAGCAAGATCTTGGTGGAGAGCTCTGCTTATCAAATCCTTTAGAGTGTACGGTAAGTAATTTTGCTCATCAAGTCAGTTTAAGCCATGTTCATCCGGGACAAGGGATAGCACTAATTTCTAGCTCTAAATCTCATCTCAGAGTTCAGGATCTCTTATCCTACTTTTGCACAAGCAGTGATACTGTGAGAGAGGCCCTCCACATCTGCAAGTTATGTCCCAGTTTCTAAGGTATATGCTGTTGAGATTTGATATACTGCAGTTCCATGGGTACCAACTTTTTTTGCTCTCTTCAGAAATTAAACTATGATTTTTAATCATGGGTGAAGTGTCTTGCTTTGGTAAGGAAAGTGTGTTGGCAAGTCAGTAAATCCATGAAAGAGGGTATGAATATATTTGTTTGTTTCGTTTTGAAAAATGTAAAACTGACTTATAGATATGTAAATGCATTCATGTAAATTCTAATTCATATTTGATATAGAAGGGTAAATTTCACAATACCCTCACTTCAGTTTGGCTTTTTTGAGATAACCCCAATAAGTTGCAAAATGTGGCTTAACGCCCTAAGTTTGGCCAACTTGAGATAACGTCTGAAACTTAAAAATGTCACTTATCCTCCCATAAGTTTTGACGCCTAACCACCTAACTAACACTGTTAGTTCTGAGTGTGCACTTGAAAGCCATGTGCATCCAAATGACCAAAATGCCCCTAGGGGAGAAAATAGTTTCATCAGTTTTAAAACTTAATTATTGATTAATTTCATAGTTAGAGTTCTAAGTTGAAAAGGGCAGCTTGTTATTTTTACCAGGTTCATCTAACACAGTTAGGCAGGTTAGTTGAAAAAATATAAAGCATTTAAGATTTTTCTGAAGCAACCCAAACTAAAATGGGACTTGAATGACATTTTTAAGTTTAGGGGCTTATCAGGGGGGCTTATGTACAGTCTACCTGTTATAGAAAGAAACCTAAATAAGCAAAATGTTCAGAGAGAAGTTAGCTTTTGGTATCTTATGTTTATTTTGGATCTGTGAACTAGTTATACAATTGCAAATGTTGGACATATAAGCATATAGCTTTCATGTCCGGACATGTCAATTATGTGGACATACTTTCATGTCCATACACATCGATTTTTGGTCTCATAGGAAGTAAATGCCGGGGTAATGCAAATTTCTTCGTGAAACATTTGTACTTTGCTTATATAACAGGTGCAGACAATCTGAGACATAATTAATTAAATTTTTTTCTGATGAAGAGTCACATAGTGTAAGAAATTGCCATATGTAATATAGCAACATTAGTAACACTAAGAGGAGCTTGGTCCAGGGCTTAAAGGAAATGTAAAAGGGAATGAAGGAGGTCGAATGTTCAAACTCCAAATCCCAGGGGATCAACCGGTTGTATCACTTATTTCACGATTTTCTCCATGAAAAAAATATAACTCATTGTCAGAAATCTGATGATTACTGGATTGTGGGGGACATTGCATAGAGTTTAAACATAAGTCTACGTTCACAGGGAATAATACAAGCTTGGAAGTGGTGCAACGATGACATACCTTATACATATGACGTTCCAAAAAGTGTTGTTAAATTTCATCAAGATCTTACCAACAAAGGTTAGAAGGCTTTGGTATATAGGTAAAGTTCAATCCATCCCTCAGCTTATTCAGCTCTATATCAATGAATTCATTATGCACATCTTGATTTCTTCATGTATAGTGGGGACCATGACATGTTCAGCCCTCATATTGGCACACAAGCATGGATTCGATCACTTGACTCCTCAATTGTAGATGACTGGCGTTCTTGGTCAGTAAATGCACAAATTGCAGGGTGAGCTTCAAGTATTATTTTCAGTTTCGTGACTAGCTTAGTTTTTCTAGGAGCTAACTTCTGTACTTCTTAAAAATTTGTCACTTCATTGATGTTAAATTTGTCATATTCACGAGCTTGACATTCGCAACTGTGAAAGTAAGTTTCTTTCTGCACAAGGTTTATGATGAGAGAATCTTATGGAGAGGGTGATTATTAACTTGAACTAGTTATTGCCCATCTAGGGTGGAGGTCACACTGCACCAGAATACAAACCCAAGGAATGCCAAGCTTAGCAGTTATTGCTGGGTTAAATATTTCTATAACTCATTTGCATACCATGAAAGACCCTGTGGTTTGATAGGTAGCTGATTTTGATTTTTTTCCCCATTTTGTGTATAAATTTAAGTAGGTTTCTTGAAGCACTCACTTTTCTCCAATAGGCGTTTGGTAACAAGTTTCACTCATCGTCAGTTAGAGACGGATCTTGTGAGAAAAAGGCATTCCTAAAGATAAGTTTACATTTGTATATACATGTGAAAATAAGTGCATATACAATTTTATTTTTTTCATTTCTTTATTATTGTAGCTTCTTTAGGAGTTTAAACCTTTTATACCTTGTACCAAGTCCTGATTATTTAATTAGACTATGTGGATAACTCTCTTCATCTTCATTACACGGGAGAAAATTCCTCTAAATATGTTAAATGGTTGGTGCTGACCGTTTCAACATCTTCATGGGATTTCATCTTTCAATAACTTGTTGCAACAACCATATGGATTTATGTATGGTTGTAGGAAAATTTCTCTGATGCATTGGTACAATGTTGTGTTGAGAAGGTATCAAAGTTTATGACCACGGTATTACATAAGAAGGGCTGCTCTATGAGACAGCTCGTGTCTAAATTAGCTGGAACATTTTTTCTAGCTAATAGTTTCGTATGAAAATACTTGTACTCTTGAAATGTATTTCAAATTCAAGTTCATAAATAACCGTATACTGAATAATATAACAAATAATTTTTAGTATGATTGAGCATCAGTTGACAATGCTTTTGGGTCTGTGGTTTCTAAATCTAAGCAGTGTTTAATGCAAGTCTGTCTCCATCTTGACATTGGAGACATACTGCCAGCTTTTCTAATGGACAATTAAGATCAATGTACTCTAATTGACAATTTAGATACAATGTACTCTAATAGACCATTTAGATTCCTGCAAGCTATATTTGTTACTATGAAAGTACTTGCACTGTTGAAATATATTTTGCATTCAAATTTACAAATTGCTGAATATCGAATAATATGACTAATAATTTTTAGTATGATTGAGCATCAGTTGACTAATGGTTTTGTATCTGTGGCTTCTAAATCCTGTAATGTTTACCATCATAGGAGACAGTCAGCTCTTAAACCATTGCTCTGAGGTACCCAATTTATTTATAACAACAATGCACTTTAGACTCCTATTGTTGTGATGAATTTCACTTTTATGTTTACAACTTACGGCATGTTTAATACTATGACCAGCAATGGTTTTTGATATGTGACTTGCTAAATCTAATAAATGTTTATGGCAAGTTGCTAAACCACTGGTACAGAGATACCCCCATTTATCTTGTGCATCAATATACTCTAAATTGACTATTTACATTCCTGCACATGAATTCCTATGTGTTCTCATGTTTTTTGTTTGAGATTTAGGGATCCCTATGTGATTTAGAAAGTTATATGCTTGTAATGTGCTGTAAATCTTGGTTTAAAGAAATAATATTGTTCGTTGACCTAAAAAAAAGGAAGAATAATATGACCAATATCTTTTACTATGATTGATCATCAGTTGACTAATGGTTTTGGGTGTGTGGCTTCTAACCTAAGCAATGATTAATGCCAAGATTGTCTCCATCTTCACATAGGACAAGTCCAGCTCTCAAACCACTGGGCTGAGATACCTTAATTTATTTAGAACATTAAAGTACTCTAAATTGACTTTCAGATTCCTGCAAAGTATATATACATAGATAAACTCGGATAATAGCCCGTAGTTATAAACTCATGGCACCACCATCTATACTCCTGCTTGCCCTATTCCTGCCAATATTATTTCCAGGCTCCCAAGGATCTCCTCCTGAGCCTGTAGTCAAGTGCGAGTCTGGAAACACGTCCTGCACTGTGACCAATGCTGTTGGCATGTTTCCTGATAGAACCACCTGCCACGTGGCATCTGTCGCCTATCCTTCAAATGAACATGAGCTCCTTCGTGTTGTCTCTGACTCTTCTTCTAAGAAGCAACACATGAAGGTTGTCACTGCCTACTCCCACAGCTTCCCCAAACTTTCGTGTCCTGGTGGGTCCAGCGGTGCTGGCCTCGTCATCAGCACAGAACATTTGAACAAAGTGGTGACTGTCGATGCTGTGAAGATGAGAATGACAGTAGAATCAGGGATCAAGCTGAAGGATTTTATCGATGCAGCAGCGGAGCATGGGATGGCATTGGAAAATTCTCCTTATTTTCTAGGGGTGACATTGGGAGGATTGCTGTGTACTGGGGCCCACGGAAGCTCATTCATTGGAAAGGGTGGAGCAGTGCATGAGTATGTGGTGGGCATGAGACTGGTGGTGCCAAGTCGGATTATGGTTGATGGATACTATGCAAGGATTGTGAACTTGGAGGAGGATGATGAGGACCTTTTGGCTGCTAAGGTTTCTCTTGGTGTCCTTGGTGTTATAAGTCAGGTATGTCTTATTCCTCACTCGGTTAGGTCAATTTTGGTTTGTTTGGATTCAATGTGCATTAATTGAAAAAGGTTTGTAAAGTAAAGTAAGTTCTGTATTATCTCCTTTAATAAACTTCACAAACCTTGTCTCTATATTCAATCACCCTTACAGTTATGCAGCCTTTTCTTTTTGCCTGATTTTCAAATTAATTCCTCAAGAATAACCCTAAATTTTTTTCCTCCTGTCTTGATTCATGTAGGATTCCTTCTTTGACTTGAATATCAAATCCTAATGATGAGGACAAGAAATGACAATTTCCCTATTTTGAAATTTGAATTTTTGAATTGTAATTTAATTTTAGTAGTTTAGATTTGAATTTCGAATTAAGTTTTAATTTGGTAAGTTGAGTGATTTGAGGGATTTTTATTTGTTTTCATTTTGTTTACACGTTGTGTGCACGTAGTAGTTTTCCTTATAAACAAGGTTGTATGAGACTTGATAATTATTGAATGAATTATTGAATGAAGAAATATTTGTTAGCTAAATTTTGGTGTGAAACCTTGTGTGTGAAACCCTAGGCCTCGGGTGTGAAACCCTAGGCCAAATTGTTCTCATCTGTCACAAACAGTCGACAAACCTTCTTTCTCCTCATACACAGCCGCCAAATTTCTTCTCTCTCCTACGTCAACAATTTCCAAACCCAGCTCCTAACTCTTCTTCATCCCTCTCAACCAGCCACCGCTCCTACTCCGAGCAGCCCCCAGAATCACTACTCTCCACTCCCAAACAGCCCAACGCCGCCACCGACCTCATGCCGACACCTATCACCCGTCTCGACCCGACAGGCCATTCGCTTCCTCACCGCTTTCATTATCTACCATCTCGACGTCGTCGATCGCGTCATTGTTCAGTTCGACGCCACCGTCGTCATCATCTTCCCGCTTGACGCCATCGCTTGCGCCATCATCTAGTGGACGTCGTCGTCATCATCTCCCCGCTTGACGCCATCGCTTGCGCCGTCATCTAGTGGACGTCGTCATCCTCATCGTCGCCCTCGTCGTCGTCAGTTCACACGCCGTGGTCATCGCTCAGTGGACGCCGTTAGTCAACGCCAGTTCATCCATCGACCCATCGACCCGTCGCCACTTGATAGCCTAGTTCGACGTCGTCGCACATGTCGTCATCCAGTTCGCCGACGCCCGCCTCATTTTTCAACACCGTCACACTCGTCGTCATCCGATCTCCGTCTCGTCATCGTCGTTCAGTTCACCGTTGTCATCGTACCACCTCCAGAGGTCTCTCACATCGAGTCTGTTCAGACCGACGAAGGTTTCGTTTTCTTTCGTCCCTTATTTTTTTGTTAATTTCATTTTGTTAGTTAATTGCATGAGTATACCATCTCTAAACTCTTATCTTATATTTACTGTTGAGATTATACTTGTGAGTAGAGAGCAACTGAACAAGTGACTGTTGCAGATCTGATATTAATTTTAGAACTTACGAAATGATAATGAATACAGCGGTTATATTGTTTGAGATTGGAATTATTCATGCTTATTAATGCAAATCTTATTAAAATCTATTTGTCATATTAATCGTTTTGAATTTAATTTCTTGCCGAAGATCATCTTTTTTGGCGAAACGGTACGTTATTCGATTTAGATCGCTGATTCCGATAGACCCCCTGTCATCGTTTCACATCATTTTTGGTATCAGAGCATGGTTTTATGTTTGGAAATTTTTTTTATTTTTATTTTTTGATTAGTTTAATTGAGTCTTTTAATTTGCTATAAAAAATTATCGTTCATCTCATTTAGTTGTCAGTGCATACCATTCACATAGGTTTACCTTATCGATTAGGTAAGTCAAGTGTATCGACTAGTGAGTCCAGCATGTCTCCCGAAGTCCTAAAGAAATTCGCTGAACTAGTATCATAATTTGATAGTACCTAGAAAATTTCCTAAATGCAACCAACGAGACACGTGCTAAACTAGGAAAAGCACGTGTTTCAACTTCGCCTCCACAAGGTCAAGGTCATAGGCACATCGTTCATCGACCCCCACCTCAACCTGTGCCTGATCCACCAACCTTTGATGGTATGCTAGACCCAGAAGCTTTCTTAGACTGGCTGAAAAACATATATTAATACTTTTACTGGTACGTCCTGACGGAATCCCAGAAAGTTAAGTTCGCAGCAATAAAACTCACCGGACCCGCATGCCAATATTAGTCTAACCTCGAAATGTTAAGGCATCTTAGGGGTGAATTATCAATTTTTACTTGGCGAGAAATGATCGACGAACTGAAACGAAAATATCTCCTGCCATCGTTTTATCATAGATTGCTAGACAAGTGGCATTATCTTACTCAGGGAACCAAATCCGTAAAAGAGTACGTTGCTCAAATTGACGAATTGTTTATTCAATGTAATACCATTGAGCAAGAGGCACCAATGAAAGTCTTGTCAAAGTTTAGAGCCCGATTGAGAAGTGACCTCCAAACCGAACTCTTTGCTCGAGGAGTAGACACCCTTGAGAGAGCTTGCGTCTTAGTTCAAGATCTAGATGAAGCTAAATTCCACCAACCTCATAGGGCTCAGAATTTTCGAACTCATTCCTCCCAGTCTTCCCGTGCTACTACCTCTAGTCAGCCTCCGAGTTGATTTGACCCTGTTAAATCCTAGAAGGATGGTGATTAGGGTCTTATGCTAATCTAATCTAATTTTATGTCAATTAAAACTAATTTAACAAACTATTCTTGCCAGATAGATATACAATGTGTTATGAGCAAGAATAAGCAATATGAGCAAAGTGATATATCCTAGCAAAGAGATACTATGAGATATATACGAGGATATACAAATAACACAAGGATAAATAATCTAAACTAGATAGTGGACAATATAAGCAACAAATAATATACAAAGGCGATATAAGATATGAACATAAAAATAAGTACGCCAATGCAGTCACAAACAAACGATATGTTCACGAAGTTCGGTTCCCACGACCTACGTCTCCGCTCCTCACCTTGAGGAGATCTCTACTATCACAATCGGGTTTTTTACGTTCACCCGAATAACGTTTACACCACACAATATCGGTTTTCAATACTCACCGATCAACATTCACAATCTCACAATGTAACTACACTCCACACCCTCTAAGTGTTGGTCTCTAGCTCGTGTCCTTCCTCAAATGCTCAGAATTATCACCTCTCTAGGCTTTACTACCAACCCTACTCCTCTTAGAAGCGACCCTGTCTCTTACCACACACTCCTCTCGGTGTACTAGTGTAATACAAAGTGAATCTCTCAATAAGTACAATACAACAAATGATTGTTCTCTAATATGGATGAGAACACAATGTAAGCTCACACTCAATGATACACTCCTCACAACCCAAATTATACTATGAATATAAATACAATAAACCCAATAGGTTATGTGTATAAACAATGAGTAAATCAAAACTAAACTCAATTATGAAAAACTAGCTTGTAGAAATGATAATCAATAAACAATTATAAATGAAAGCTAGAATTTGAGTTTAGGAAAACTTCTCTAGATGACAAGAGAGAGATGAATTGAAGCTCAAACACCAATGAATTGATCTCCACTTCCTCTTGTGAAAGTATCTTCACAAACCAAACTTGAAACAAAACTACACGAAACATAAACCTTTGTTAAACCTTGTTTAAAAACTTCTTAGATTGCTTATGAGAGATGAGAGCAATGGGGTATATATAGCCACCCAAAACCTCAGTCAAAAACCCCAAACAAAAGACCAAAAAGCACACAAAATCAGAAATCTGATTCTGTACAAAATATAGCCGTTGGGCGATCGGCGATCAACCGTGGGAATTTCACTGTCGATCGCGAGCAACTCCAGAAACTATTTTGGGCTCTGGACATCAGCCGGTCGACTATGACGATCGATCGCGAAACTCTCTGGACTGCATCTGGTCGATCGTCAAGGTTGATCGTGAGTCTCTAAAAAACATCTTGAGTCTCTGGACTCAAGGCGGTCGACCGCCACTGACATGAAAATTTACAGGTTTTGAAGTAATTTTCTGATTTTGAAACCCTATTTAAAAATATCAAACAAATTCCAAAAATTATAAAACTTTAGAAAATAATTGTAGACATGATAATATCATTATTTTACAAAATAGTCCAAAACATAAAAATATAAACACTTGAGTTTTGACATTTTAGCTTAACCATGTTTTGAAACATTACAAAATGATTTTGTAGGCTTAATAAAATATATATTTGATTATTGTTAAGTCCAAAAACTGAGAATACAATATTTTCACAAAATTGTATATTTTGCAAACTTTTCAAAAACAATGAATATGATTTCATTGCACTAAAAAAATTTGATATTGGTAAAATCATATATATGCATATAAGTATGAAATAAGAAATGCATTTTCAATTGTATTCAATTGTTTCATATTAAAACTTAAAAACTATCAAACCAAAACATATATGTATATATGTATAACTATATATATACATAGGAACCACAATTAAAGTGTGTATATATATAACTATGTATATATATAAAAACCAAAACTTGTGTTGTATATATATATATATATATATATATATATATATATAACTACATATATATATACAAAGAAACCAATAAAATATGTGTGTATATATGATTGAGCTTAAAGTACTTAACACACATAATATAAACGCCTAAACTAGATTACCCAAGCTATAAGTCTTCAATAAGCTCGACTTGATACATTTGCGGATGAAGCTTGAACTTGAATCTTTAACTTGAATTACGTAGCTTCACTCCACTAATCCGCCAATCTCCATTGAATTTGATTGTGAATGCTCGATTCCATCCATCCTCCAACATGTTGTTTGTTTACAATAAATAAAAAATCATAAACACTAGACAAACAACATTAGTCGTAAATTATTTGTTAAACATCATCAAAACAAAAAGGCCAACAGACCCTAGTTCTTCCTAGTCTACAGTCGATCCTAAGGGCAAGAAATCAGAGAGATTTCTCCAAACTTAGCCCAATATTTCAGTACTATAATTGTCAAGGATACGGGTACGTCGCTAGCATCTGTATGACCCCGTTCAGAGTTACAATTAATAAGCCGCCGATAACAGAATCAAAACCTCTTATTGAGGAAACCGTTAACCAGGCCGTAGATTTGGATAGAATCTAACTCTAGCAAGAAATTTTGGGATAGTAAAATGAAAAAAACCATGCACTTCCGTTTCTTCTGAAACTACCCCGACAATTGTGAAGTTGATTGAATTTTTATGCAATGACAACGCTCCGATTATTTCCCAAACTACCCCTTTGATCACGAGGTTCATTGATGTTATCTTTGTAGTTGTTCCTGAAATTGAAACTCCAATTCTTCCTGAACTCACTCCAGTAATTAAAAACGTTGTTGATTTTCCCCACGTAGTCCTTCCAGACAAACATGACACCCGACACATTCTTGAGGATATCTGTATGGAAGTTGAATACCAAACTGAACCTAGTGAAATAACTACCATATTAGATGTCAAACCCCCATGCATTGTCTCGATAGTCACTCATGTACACTAATCCATTTTAGGAAAATATAGTGATTAGGGATTCAAGTTTGAGCACAAGTGTTTTCTTTCCCTTTCTCTCTCATGTTAAGCGCACAAAAACACTCACCCGCCATACATTTGCTTGCATGTTCCTCACTATCATTGTTAGGATAGGAAAATTTTTATGCATTTTAACAAAGAAACACCTAATTATTCCATTTGATAGAGGACATCATGCATGTTAAACACTTCGTTAAGTTATATCTGCCATTGATCATATTGTTCAAGTCTGCATTTCATCGTAATCATTTGAGTTGATTCACATCATTTTGAATTGCATTGGTCATATTTAGGGAATCAATGATCTAATTTGAATTGTTAATTGAAATGTATGATATTGAGTCAGGACATAATTTAAAACTGTTAATGATGATATTTGAGATGGTTTGGACTTGTCCAATACAGTTTTTTTTATAGCTGTTTAAGATTTGACATGATATTTATGAACTTTTTTACTCTTGAAATAATTAATAACAACATTTATATTATTGATTTGGTCATAGTTCTATTCTCAATATTGAGTGATTAAGAAGTTCACAATGTTATTGTCAGTCCACTGAAATAAGCCTGACCCTAGACTATTGTTTTGAGAGTTCTTTCGCTTTACCCCACTTCTATATATTCACCTATACAATAGTGAATTTTGATAATATTTTAGATGGTGAATTTATAATGTAATTTAGCTAATGATTTGACATGCAGGAAAGTAACTGACGACAGATTAAGATGCAGGCAGCTTATATTGAAAATGATAAGTTTCTGTAGCTAACTCGACGGAGTCGAGTTTTCTCCTACCCGGGGATAATGATGAGGACAAGAAATGACACTTTTCCTATTTTGAAATTTGAATTGTAATTTAATTTTAGTAGTTTAGATTTGAATTTCGAATTAAGTTTTAATTTGGTAAGTTGAGTGATTTGAGAGATTTTTATTTGTTTCCATTATGTTTGCACGTTATGTGCACATAGTAGTTTTCCTTATAAACAAGGTTGTATGAGACTTGATAATTATTAAATGAATTATTGAATGAAGAAATATTTGTTAGCTAAATTTTGGTGTGAAGCCTTGGGTGTGAAACCGTAGGCCTCGGGTGTGAAACCTTAGACCTCGGGTGTGAAACCCTAGGTCAAATAGTTCTCCTCTGCCACAAACAGCCGACAAACCTTCTTTCTCCTCATACACAGCCGCCAAATTTCTTCTCTCCCCACGTCAATAATTTCTAAACCCAGTTCCCAACTCCTCTTCATCCTTCTTAGCCAGCCACCGCTCCTATTCCGAACAGCCCCCGGAATCACTACTCTCCACTCCCAAACAACCCAACACCGCCACCGACCTCATGCCGACACCTACCACCAGTCTTGACCCGACAGGCCATCCGCTTCCTCACCGCTTTCATCATCTACCATCTAGACGCCGTCGATCGCGTCATTGTTCAGTTCGACACCACCGTCGTCATCATCTTCCCGCTTGACGCTATCGCCTGCGCTGTCATCTAGTGGACGTCGTCGTCCTCATCGTCACCCTCGTCGTCGTCAGTTCACACGCCGTGGTCATCGCTCAGTCGACGCCGTTTGTCAATGCCAGTTCACCCATCGACCCATCGACCCGTCACCACTTGATAGCCTAGTTCGACGTCGTCGCACATGTCGTCATCCAGTTCGCCGACGCCCGCCTCGTTTTCAACACCGTCGCACTCGTCGTCATCCGATCTCCGCCTCGTCATCGTCGTTCAGTTCACCGTTGTCGTCGTACCACCTCCAGAGGTCTCTCACATCGAGTCTGTTCAGACCGACGAAGGTTTCGTTTTCTTTCGTCCCTTATTTTTTTGTTAATTTTATTTTGTTAGTTAATTGCATGAGTATACCATCTCTAAACTCTTATCTTATATTCACTGTTGAGATTATACTTGTGAGTAGAGAGTAACTGAACATGTGACTGTTGCAGATCTGATATTGATTTTAGAACTTACGAAATGATAACAAGGTTTTAAATATCGGATGTCGGGTTCATGTCGGATGGCTGAAATCCATATCGGATAGCGAAAATCGGGGATATATCGGGGGACATTGACTAAATATCGGATTATCATATCGGGTAGTATGTAATCTAAGCATTCATAAATTCAATATAAGCATACTTTATAAATTCTATAGACTAAACATATAAAAAAGTAAATAATATATGGATTTGAGTTCATAAATTCTTTCTATCGGGTTCATAAGGAACCCTTAAACATGAGAACGAGTCAAACGGGTTTGGGTGTTTATCATTAAATCCAAACCCGATAAAAAAACAAATATTAAAAAAAAGTACCATATCGGTCGATTTTTTAAAGCTAAAAAATAGGTCGATATGCCCGATATGACCCGGATATTTCCGATTTGGCCCTGAAAACCGATATACGAGTTAAAAACGTCCATGTCGTGTCGGTCAAGCCCTCAAACCGATATGTCGGCCGACATGTCGGACATGTCGGCCGATATTTAAAACCTTGAATGATAATGAATACAGCGGTTATATTGTTTGAGATTGGAATTGTTCATGATTATTGATGCAAATCTTATTAAAATTTATCTGTCATATTAATCGTTTTGAATTTAATTTCCTATCGAAGATCATCATTTTTGGCGAAACGGTACGTTATTCGATTTAGATCGCTGATTCCGACAGACCCCATGTCATCGTTTCGCATCACCTAATCATCTTTCAATCGTAATTCAATTCTGTGTCTCTGCAACTACAACAAAACTCAGATGTTGTGATGAGTGTTTAGGGTTATAATCCTATATTCTAACATGGGCCCGTAGATGGTCCTTCTCTTATGGGTCAAAAGCTTGACTCATAGGGCAGTATTTTTTTATCTGCTTTAGAAAATCGTGGTCAATAGGATTTGAACCTAGATTGCTCTAGCACCATCTTAAAGTCCCTTGCTGCACCAAAACTCTCGAGTTATGGGTAGTGCTAAGCATTATAATTTTATATTCAAATAAATTTCAAATGAAATTGTTTCTTTTCGGTCAAATCAAATCTCAATCCAAACAACGCAAAAGGATAAATCCGAATGTGAAGAAACTTATTGAATTTGGAACCTTTATCATTGTAAGGTAGTATTCAGTCGGCTTTGTAAGTTCCTGTTCTTTGTTGAGCCTAATATTTCATTTGATAGATTGTAGTATTGAATATTTTTTCAAACATAATGGATTTATAATCTTACGGACTTGCATAACTGCATCTTAATAAACATGTATGCATTGATTGCTGAGCAAATATGACTTTTCCTCTTTTATTTAGAAAAGAATTGAATGTTTAAAATACAAGTAGGTGACCCTCCAGTTGGAGCCAATGTACAAGCGCTCAATCAGCTATCGGGTCACAGAAGACACAGATTTTGAGTACAGTATCGCCTCTTATTCCAAAACTACTCATTATGGTGATATTGGATGGTACCCTTCTCAAGGAAAGGTGGTGTATCGCGACGATGTGAAGGTCCCAATCTCAGTACCAGGTGAAGGCATAAACGATTTGCTATCATCACAACCCTCATCCTTGGTTATGGCTGTCCGATCTGCAGGTGAATTTCTTTTACTTGTTACTAATTTTTATGGCTGATAAAATTTTGATGATAATGCTAAAAATCGTAACTATTTGATTACTATTCTCTACCTAGAAAACCAATATCGGGGATATATCGGGGGACATTGACTAAATATCGGATTATCATATCGGGTAGTGCGCATATGTATAATATCATGTCCTAAATGTAATCTAAGCATTCATAAATTCAATATAAGCATACTTTATAAATTCTATAGACTAAACATATAAAAAAGTAAATAATATATGGATTTGAGTTCATAAATTCTTTCTATCGGGTTCATAAGGAACCCTTAAACATGAGAACGAGTCAAACGGGTTTGGGTGTTTATCATTAAATCCAAACCCGATAAAAAAACAAATATTAAAAAAAAGTACCATATCGGTCGATTTTTTAAAGCTAAAAAATAGGTCGATATGCCCGATATGACCCGGATATTTCCGATTTGGCCCTGAAAACCGATATACGAGTTAAAAACGTCCATGTCGTGTCGGTCAAGCCCTCAAACCGATATGTCGGCCGACATGTCGGACATGTCGGCCGATATTTAAAACCTTGAATGATAATGAATACAGCGGTTATATTGTTTGAGATTGGAATTGTTCATGATTATTGATGCAAATCTTATTAAAATTTATCTGTCATATTAATCGTTTTGAATTTAATTTCCTATCGAAGATCATCATTTTTGGCGAAACGGTACGTTATTCGATTTAGATCGCTGATTCCGACAGACCCCATGTCATCGTTTCGCATCACCTAATCATCTTTCAATCGTAATTCAATTCTGTGTCTCTGCAACTACAACAAAACTCAGATGTTGTGATGAGTGTTTAGGGTTATAATCCTATATTCTAACATGGGCCCGTAGATGGTCCTTCTCTTATGGGTCAAAAGCTTGACTCATAGGGCAGTATTTTTTTATCTGCTTTAGAAAATCGTGGTCAATAGGATTTGAACCTAGATTGCTCTAGCACCATCTTAAAGTCCCTTGCTGCACCAAAACTCTCGAGTTATGGGTAGTGCTAAGCATTATAATTTTATATTCAAATAAATTTCAAATGAAATTGTTTCTTTTCGGTCAAATCAAATCTCAATCCAAACAACGCAAAAGGATAAATCCGAATGTGAAGAAACTTATTGAATTTGGAACCTTTATCATTGTAAGGTAGTATTCAGTCGGCTTTGTAAGTTCCTGTTCTTTGTTGAGCCTAATATTTCATTTGATAGATTGTAGTATTGAATATTTTTTCAAACATAATGGATTTATAATCTTACGGACTTGCATAACTGCATCTTAATAAACATGTATGCATTGATTGCTGAGCAAATATGACTTTTCCTCTTTTATTTAGAAAAGAATTGAATGTTTAAAATACAAGTAGGTGACCCTCCAGTTGGAGCCAATGTACAAGCGCTCAATCAGCTATCGGGTCACAGAAGACACAGATTTTGAGTACAGTATCGCCTCTTATTCCAAAACTACTCATTATGGTGATATTGGATGGTACCCTTCTCAAGGAAAGGTGGTGTATCGCGACGATGTGAAGGTCCCAATCTCAGTACCAGGTGAAGGCATAAACGATTTGCTATCATCACAACCCTCATCCTTGGTTATGGCTGTCCGATCTGCAGGTGAATTTCTTTTACTTGTTACTAATTTTTATGGCTGATAAAATTTTGATGATAATGCTAAAAATCGTAACTATTTGATTACTATTCTCTACCTAGAAAACCAATTGGAGGGAGATGAAGATGCAAAAGGCAGATGCCAGAGGGCTGAAACAGAGATGAAAAATCTTCTCGCGATGGGTATGGGGTTGAAGAGTAAAACTGGTAGCATCCATAACTTCACAGGATATCCTGTTATTGGATACCAAAATGATATGCAAGCTTCAGGTACGCACATCTAAAACAATCCAAATTTCATTGAACATATCAAAATCCTAACTTGTTCAACTGCAGGGTCATGCTTGAATAGCCCTGAAGACAACCTGGACACAATCTGCGTATGGGATCCTCGAATCCCTGGACTTCTCACTCATGTAACTGCACTGAGCATTCCATTCTCCGACATCACTAGCTTCATCACCGATGTAAAGAAACTACGTAATATGAACCCGGAGGCTCTCTGTGGACCTGAGCTATATGATGGAGGCATACGATTGAGGTTTGTCAAGAACTCCACTGCTTATCTTGGCAAAACCTATGATTCAGTTGATATAGGCCTGATCTACTATCGCTCTCATGATCCTAATCAACCAAGAATATATCAAGATGTGATTGAAGAGATTGAGCAGATGTTAGTGTTTAAATACAACGGACTGCCTCATTTTGGTAAAAACAGGCCTGTTGGGTTTGTGGGAGTGAGGAATAAGTTGGGGATGAAGGGGGATAAGTTTGTGAATGTGATGGAGAGGTATGATGAAGAGGGGTTGTTTTCTTCGGATTGGAGTGATGCAGTGCTCGGATTGAGGGGGAAGGTTTTGATGGTAACAGAGAAAGGTTGTGCTGTTGAAGGTTTGTGTATTTGTTATGCAGATGAGCATTGTTCTCCTAATAAAGGGTACTACTGTCAGCCAGGGTTGGTGTACAAGGAGGCTAGAGTTTGTAGGAAGACAACTAGAATTGCTTGTGAAGAGAGGGAAGGGGTGCTTGATTCGATCTTATGAACTATCGATGTGACATTTTTAAAATTGTAGCAACAAATGCTGAAACCAATGTGTTGGGTGTTTGTTGTTTGAAGATAGTTCCTAATGTTGGGTAGCAAAGCCTATGAAATGAGATGAATAAGATTAATCTAATTTTTTTTTCTTCAATTGATTCAAAATGATTAGCCCTGTTTGAAAACATTAGTCCAAGTATACATGGGTGTGCGCACGTGTGTGTGTGTGACAATATTAGCGACAGCTTGGTCTCGTTATTTACAGTGGTAACCATGATATGTTCATCCCTAATGGCACGTGAGCATAAATGGACTAAGGGTGAGCTTCAAATATTTGATCAATTTCGTGAATTGTTTACTTTTCCTAGGAGCTACATCTCTCCTTCAAAATTTGGTCACCTGACATTTGCAAATGTTAAAATGAGTTTTGGTCTGCAGATGGTTTTATCATTAGAAAATCTTATGGAGAGTGAGATTCTTAACCTGTGTACCTTTCCATTGTTTCTAGGGTGGAGGTCACACTGCGCCAGCATGCAAAAGCCCAAGGAGCGCCAAGCTGTGTTTCATAGATGGATTTCTGATGTTCCTCTATGATGTATTTTTTCCATATATTTTAGTGGGTATTGCAAGGGTAAGTATTTCGACAATTCAATTCCATAACGTAATAAAATATCTTATGATGTGATATGGTGGATCCTTTTTTCTTCTTAATATCTCTAGAAGCACTCATATTTCTCCGAGATTCTGTGTTCGTAGAATGGGTGGTTAATTAGGAAAACATGCTCACACGTTATGTATTTAGGGTTGATCTTATGAGATAAATTTACACGTTTACATACATATGCATACAAGAGGACGCATATGTATGTAATTTGGTGTATGCCTTTATTTATAGATCCTAAATTTGTTAATTTTCTTTCTTACATGGAGAGGAAATTCTCCAAACATATTGGAAGCAATTCGTGTGAACTTGTATCTGCTTCCTACTGCATTTATCAACTGTCCTTCAAGTCTTATTAGAGGTTTAGTTTCACCACTACTCTCTTCGAGAGGATTTAGCATACCTAGGGACATTAGGCTTCTTTTATTTCCATTTATCGTTTTATGTTAACATTTACAATTATTTGCAAGATCTCTTCATGGGTTTTTATCTATCATTAATTTGTGGCAACAACTATGGGGATCTATGTATGACTAGAAAATTTAAAATTTCCTCTGATCGCATTGGTACAGTAGTGGACTGTGAAGGAATCTCATCATCTTCTCATCTTATCTACGTTTATGACCGTTATATTACATGAGGACTACTCTATGAGAAGGCTCATGTGCAGGTTAGCCTGAACATGTTGTGTAGCTAATAGTTTACTGTTGAGATGTATTTCAAATTCAAGTTTGCAGATTATGGGATATTGAACAATATGACCAGTGGTATTTTACTATTAGTGAGCAGCTATTGACTATTGGTTTTGGATGCGTCTGAACCTAATCAATTTCTAATGCAAGTTGTTTGTCTCCGTCTTCACATTGGAGACAGCCAGCTCTTAAACCAATGGGCTGAGATTCCCCAGTTTATTTATACTCTAGATGCAGCCTTCCATTTTTAAGTGGGGCCTTGAGATTCAATGTAAAAACCTCTTAAATGGGCTCAAAAGGATCATCCGACTTCATTTCAATTGTGCTCAGTGTATATCACCTTAAATTGACTATTAACACTGCGAGCAAATATATATAAAGGGTAAATTTCACAAAACACCCCTGAATTTCAAAATAACGCTATACCGGTGAACTATTGGAAATTCTCATAACGGTGTTTACAGCTAGAGTAAAAAGGTTTAAAATACTCTTTTTACCTTTTACCAACCCTTAACTAAAAAGGGTAAATAAAAGCTCGGCTGCAGAACCTACTAACTCTCTAAACTATTAAATTTATCTCTGCTTTCCCTCTGCACTATATTTGGTCTCAGCTGCATAAACTATTAAGTTTGTCCTTGCTTACCCTTTGAACAATTTTCTATCCTGTTGTGCCCCCTGCTGCACTACCATCGTTCTCTAATAAAACCATTTAGACAAGTGGTAACTTAGTATTGAATTTGATAGTTCAGGGTGTAAAAACGGATAAATTTTATAGTTTATGGGGGGAGGTGGGACCAAAATAATTCAAAAGATAAGGAGGGAACAAATTCAATGGTTTAAAGGGCACGTAGGGACTAAAAATAGTTACAAGCTAAAGAAGGGACTATTAATAGTTTAGAAGCCTAGAAGTTAATATTAGCAGACAGGGATAAATTGTCTAGGAGTTATTCAGGTGCCCCAAAGTTCAGCGGGGTTTTGTGAAATTTACCCCTAATATAAGACCCTGCTAGTTGTCCATAGGTGATATTGTCATGGCACCGCCAACTATAATCCTGCTATCCCTGTGCCTAGCAATCTCATTGCCAGGCTCCCAACAGTCTCCTCCCGGGCCTGTAGTAAAATGTAACTCCGGCAACACAACCTGTACTGTGACCAATGCGTTTGGCACTTTCCCCGACCGAACCACCTGCCACGTGGCAGCCATCGCCTACCCTACCAACGAGCATGAGCTCCTCCTCACTGTCTCCGATGCTTCTGCTAAGAAACAACACATGAAAGTCGTCACCGCCTACTCCCACAGCATCCCCAAGCTCTCGTGCCCTGGAGGGCCCAGCGGTGCTGGCCTCGTCATCAGCACCGAGCATCTGAACAAAGTGGTGAACGTTGATACTGCAAAAATGAGAATGACTGTGGAGGCGGGGATCAAGCTGAAGGAGCTTATTGATGCAGCAGCGATGCATGGGCTGGCACTGGAACATTCTCCTTATTGGCTTGGGGTGACCTTGGGAGGATTGCTAGGTACCGGGGCCCATGGGAGCTCGTTAGTTGGAAAGGGTGGGGCTGTGCATGAGTATGTTGTGGGGATGAAACTGGTGGTCCCGAGTCGGATTTTGGTTGATGGGTACTATGCAAGGGTTGTGAAATTAGGGGAGGATGATGATGACCTTTTGGCTGCTAAGGTTTCTCTCGGTGTGCTTGGCGTTATAAGTCAGGTGTGTCTTATTTTTTTTTTCATTCACATTTTATCGATTGAATTAGTTTCTATAGACCAGTAGGTTTTATCATCTATGTCATTTCTTCGGTTTGTCTTCTGAATGAAGAAGCTTATTAAGTCGGGAACTTTTCTCTTAGACGTTAGCATTCAATCAACATTCTACATTTATCTTCTGAGAATGCTACATCTCATTTCAAAGATTGTAGATGAATTGTTACATCATTATCAAAAGTATGGAATTTACTAGAGAGTTGCTTGATGTACTTGGCATTAATTATAATCTGATATCCTGAAGTCCATCAATTTTTTATTTTTTTACCTTCAAAAACGTCATAAAATTTAATTTTTTTCGAAATGACACCCCGATGTTTTGTCAACTTTACACTTCATTACATTCCGTTACATGATTGTAGAGGACTGTTTAGAAGGTAACAGGTGATTGTCATAAGATATTTTAAAACTTTATACCCTTATATTGAAAGGGATTCTCTCTTGAATACCTTTCTTCCTTCTCCCTCTATTTGGCGAAAAAAACCCATTTAACGCTATCCTGAATTCATTTCTTCATTTTTCCCCCCTAACACAATACTGAGATGTTGCAGGGAAAGTTTTTCCCTTTCACTTTGCACATGCTAGTATCAAGATTATGGGGTTTTTTTTTCTCACTTTTACATGCACAAATACAACTTTTTAATTAAATATTTGAACACTAGCAGGTGACCCTCCAATTGGAGCCAATGTTCAAGCGCTCGATCAGCTACCGGGTCACAGAAGACGCAGATTTTGAGTACAGCATAGCCTCGTATGCTGAAACTACTTATTATGGTGATATTGGATGGTATCCCTCTCAAGGTAAGGTTGTGTATCGTGATGATTTCAAGCTTCCAGTCTCAGCACCAGGCGAAGGCATAAACGATTTTGTAGCTTGTCAACCACAAACCCCATCCTTGGCTATAGCTGCCCGATCTGCAGGTACATCCCTTAAAAGGGTAAATTGCAGGTAACTCCCCTAGTATATTCCTACAGTAGTACCTAATTATCACTCGAAAATTTTATTAGCACTTATCACCCGTCAATAGAGAGAAGGGACCGGGTTATTTTATTCTAAAATGTGAATTCAAGAGTGGTCAGTGCTACTGAAATAGTTGAGAGGTGATAAAATGCACCTGAAGGCTAGATGATGGAATTATCTGCAATTTACCTCTGCTAAAACTCTCGACTGTATTTCTATGATAAGTCCAAAATCTTAATTCTTTCCCCATTATTTTCTACCTAGAAAACCAATTGGAGGAAGATGAACATGCAAAGGGAAGATGCTTAAGGGCAGAAGCAAAACTGAAAAATCTTCTCACGACTGGTATGGGATTAAAGAGTAAAAACAACGGAGTCTTTAACTTCACAGGATACCCTGTAACTGGATACCAAAACGATATGCAAGCTTCAGGTGTTCATCTCTAAAAATATCCTAATTTTCATCGACTATATCTCAACCCTTACTAATTGAGACCTGTTAAATTACAGGATCATGCTTGAATAGCCCTGAAGACAACCTGGAAACAATCTGCATATGGGATCCTAGAATTCCTGGAATTCTCTACCAAGAAACTGCACTAAGCATTCCTTTCTCTAACATCACAAGCTTCATCACGGATGTAAAGAAGCTCCATGATATCAACCCAGAATCCCTCTGTGGACCTGAACTATACTACGGAGGCATACACCTGAGATTCCTCAAGAGCTCCACAGCTTATCTTGGTAAAGCCCACGACTCAGTTGATATAGACCTGACCTACTATCGCCCTCGTGATCCTAACCAGCCGAGAATATATCAAGATGCTATCGAAGAGATTGAGCAGATGTTGGTGTTCAAATACAAAGGGCTGCCTCATTTTGGTAAGAATAGGAATGTTGGGTTCATCGGAGTGAGGAACAAGTTGGGGGCACAGGGTAATAAGTTTGTGAATGTTATGGAGAGGTATGATGAAGAGGGAATGTTCTCTTCGGAGTGGACCGATGGAGTTCTTGGATTGAGAGAAAAGGATGTGGTGATAATGAAGAAAGGTTGTGCACTTGAGGGGCTGTGTATTTGTTTGAGTGATGAACATTGTGCTCCTGATAAGGGTTACTACTGTCAGCCAGGGTTGGTGTATGAGGAGGCTAGAGTTTGTAGGAAGGTGAGTAGGATTGGCTGTGAAGAGAGAGAAGAGATGCTTAGTTTAAAATTGTAATGACTAATGTTGATTAGGGATTAGTCGGTGAGATATTCTGAAGATTTATAATAAAATTGAAGGATTATCAGATAAAAGGAGATCTAATTTAATCTATAGAAAACACAAACTTATAGTCTCTAACATCAACATTTTAATCCTTTTAACCTTTGCAGTTTTTTTCAGAATGTGGACTGAAAGTGAGTGAGAGGAGAGAGAGATTAGTTTTTTGCTCTATTATCTCTCTTATTATTAGTCTTAGGCCATATTGTTTACTTTTTATGATAACCAAAACAAAACATGACGGGGTTGAATATTGTTAGGACATAGTCCATACAATATCTCTTGTTTGAATAATGATAAACTTTTATTTGGTACTGATATTTATTTGAGATGATATAATATAGGTATATATAGGTATAAGAATTATACGAGGCGAAACGACGGGAAAATTATTTAGGAGAAATCTTTTCATAGTGAGAAAGCACCTTGATAGAAGAAAGAATTTATGTAAAATTATTATCCAAACCACTGTTAAAATCTTGTTGTTCCTAGTTGGTTGCTATTTATATTTGATTATCATTGATTACTTTTATTTTATCTTTTTTCGCTATATATTCTGTATTTTTAATGAAAATTGGTAGTAACCATATTCACGCCCTCTAGGCTTGCATCTCTTATCCAACAAATTTCACATCATGTCACTAGTAGAAAACTATGCATCCTTGATGGCAATTCCTGTCAAGGATGCTAAGAATCTCATCAAGATTGTATATCCTTGATGGAGGCCCTTCAAGGATAGCATTCCTGTCAAGGATGCTAAGAATCTCATCAAGATTGTATATCCTTGATGGAGGCCCTTCAAGGATAGCCCGTCAACAAATGTCCTGTCAAGAATGTCAACATCCTTGATGGGCGCCTGTCAAAGATGCACATCCCTCACAGAACATCCTTGCCATCAAGGATGCTGAAGCTAATTTGAGATGATATAATATAGGTATATATAGGTATAAGAATTATACGAGGCGAAACGACGGGAAAATTAGTTCAAAAGCTAATTTCAACCTCCTAACCATCAATGATAGGCATCCACCATCGATTATAGGAAGAGCTCATCGATGGTCAACAATATTCATTGATGATTTTTACTCCAGACACTTTCATATCATCGAGACTTCTCAACCATCAGTGGAACCTCAATGTCATCGATGGTCTAGAGTCACCATCAATGATAAACACGTTGACTGTAGAATTTCTAGATTTAATCTCAGTCATTTGTCGTTACTTTTTTCTACAATCTCCACCAAACTTAGTGTATTTCTTTCCTAACCTATTGAGGACTTCATATCATTGTGTGTGTGTGTGTGCGTGTGGGTTAACCCTTGCAGACTCGACAATCTCTCACTCGTCACACACAACATTTTCGGATCATTTTAGCAAGGAGAATCACCCTTGGATTGATATTCTTATACCGCTCTTCATCGCAGCTACGCTTATATTCATCAATGGTTTGGTTTGTTTAATAATAAACTTGTACCGATGTTTCTGATATTTTGAGCTTTAATTGTTTGTATTGGTTTTGGTTTGAACTTGTTTTCACAGCGTACTCAAGTTGGTTTAAATTGAAAGTTGGGACTAACTAGGGCTAGGTGTTACTCATTGGTGAAGAGTTAGGTTAGATTATTGGTTTCGAATAGATTTCAATGTATGGTCTTGTAAGGCTGATAGGCAAAATCGCAAGCGCACGGACTCGTTGTAGCTATCAAGGTCGATCCCACAAGGACTAGGGGTTATTACCAAGTTTTACGTTTTCAACTAAGCTAAATCAATGAGTAAATTAGAAGAGATTTAATAAAAGAAATAAAATTAAACAATAAGTCGGGGATGGAATTCAATATAATGAAGAGCCAGGATTGGGTTTTTACCACAACTTCGATGCTCAATGATGAATTATTTTAGTTCTCGGTGTTGGTTTAAACTAAAGAGGGTGAATTAGCCTAAATTAATCTAAAGCCTCTTTCAAGGTCTAAAGATCGTGCCTAATCAATCTCAATTAACCTACTTTCGTGGAATCAAGATTAAATTAAACCCATTAAGCTTTATGCTAATCCAAATCAAATCCCCAAGGAATCTAGCCTACTTTCGTGGTTCGAGCTCCCTGCTTAATTTCTAGAGATCCGGTATTAATCTTCACCTTTCAGTCCTTCAATTAATTACCTATGATTGCTAATACGGTGATCAAGCGAATCAACAAAATTAAAACACTAGAAATCAAGTTCAAAGATTTAAACTTTCACCAAGAACCTATATCAATTCATCATCAATCACCAAAAAGTTGGGTTCTTTCCCAATCCTAGACAAGAAATCTACTCACACATGATTGGAATAAGAGAAGACATCAAATAATTATGCAAATCAATCATAAGAAGAAATAAATCAAAGAGATGAAAGAATTAACCCGTCTTTCAATTGAAATCTTTAAAATAAGAACTTGCAATCCAATCTTCTACAAGAGATTAATGTCTTCCTTCAATACTTGAACCCTAGAATAGTTGCTAGTTGATGGCTAAAAGAACATAACAAAAGATATCCAAAACCCTAAGTTAAAACATCTATTTATATGTCCTCAAAAATCTGGAAAATAACTAATTCCCGCGCCACCGGTGTGGTCTGCACCACACCAGGGTGTGGTAGGGGCTGTTTTGCTGATTTTGTGCTTGTTTCTTCAGTTTTCGGTATTTTGGCTATAACTTTTGCGTCAGACCTCGGAATGAGGTGATTCAAGTTGCATTGGAATCCTGTGGAAGAGATCGACAACTTTCATCTTTTGAGTTTTTCTTGATTCAAACTGCATCATGGTCGAAATTCCAGTTCTTCATACTCGTGCATCCATTTTCTTCACGAACCATGCCTTCAAAATCTTGTTGTTGCTTCAAACTCTTGTAAAACTTCCAACGATCATCAAATCTTTCAATCTTGAGCCAATACCTACATATAAGAACACAAACCACAGCAGTATCCTCGATCTAAACACGAAATATGCATTAAACACTCGTAAATCATGCTTAAAACACACTAAGATAATGCATATTTTACGTGTTTATCATAAGCCTACTAAATTAAATTTGTGATTTAGGAGAAATCTTTTCATAGTGAGAAAGCACCTTGATAGAAGAAAGAATTTATGTAAAATTATTATCCGAACTACTGTCAAAATCTTGTTGTTCCTAGTTGGTTGCTATTTATATTTGATTATCATTGATTACTTTTATTTTATCTTTTTTCGCTATATATTCTGTATTTTTAATGAAAATTGGTAGTAACCATATTCACGCCCTCTAGGCTTGCATCTCTTATCCAACAAATTTCACATCATGTCACTAGTAGAAAACTATGCATCCTTGATGGCAATTCCTGTCAAGGATGCTAAGAATCTCATCAAGATTGTATATCCTTGATGGAGGCCCTTCAAGGATAGCATTCCTGTCAAGGATGCTAAGAATCTCATCAAGATTGTATATCCTTGATGGAGGCCCTTCAAGGATAGCTCGTCAGCAAATGTCCTGTCAAGAATGTCAACATCCTTGATGGGCGCCTGTCAAAGATGCACATCCCTCACAGAACATCCTTGCCATCAAGGATGCTGAAGCATCCTTGACTAGCTGCCATCCAGGATGATTGAAACATTCTTGATGGTGTGGCTGTCAAAGATGCACATCCCTGTCGTCAAGAATGTCATATTTTCATTAAATTTTGTTTATAATCTAGATTTCCTTGTTTACAAAATAGTTTTTACACAATACAAGATGCAATTTACCATGTTTGTAGAATATTTTACTCAATAATAGTTTTGACTATACCACAATCCATAAATCTATCAACAAACACAGTAATATCATAACATTCAAAACCAAACCATAATCAACATATCTCTCAAGACCCATAATATCAAATATATCAATAATTCTTAATCTCTCTCATTCTTCCAAAATGCACAATACAAAAAGATCCAAAATTAAATCAAACAAGGTGAGTCCATGATTTCCTAAAACAAAAATCATTATCATAATCCTCGCAAACATGTCACAATCCCCACAAGGAAGTCTAGGATATAAATACTACAAACTAAATAAGCAAACATATATATCTCACACATGTATGTAGGAGATACAAAATATTAAGAACTCAAAAATTGAGGTCTTCTACCTCGTTCATGTACTTATTTCCGTAAGAGATCCAGTCCTTGAGCTGTAAATCTCTCTATCTTTCCCACTTGCTTTCCAATATCCAACATATGTTGCTCTATTAGTCCTCAGCCTAGTTGAGTACCTTCTAAACTCGAAGAAGCACCATTCTTTTTCTCGCATATTTGCTTTTTTTACAAATTCAACCATACAATTGAGACTACAAGAAAAAATTATCAGAAAAAAGAAAAGAAGAAAACAGGGCTATGCTTTAGACCTGGGAGTTGCCAGGGCTCGCACTTGTTGAGGTCAATGTCGGAGATGGCTCGGCCAATTAAGGTGTTGTCAACAATTTTTGCTAAGGAGTGATGAGCTTAGCGCGATGAAATCTGAAACCTGGAGGCAACTTTCCTTCATTCTTCTTAAACTGTTGTACATACATCTCCACCAACAATTATGCACAATTGCAAATAAGGAATAAAGATACAAAAACATAACTATTCCATTATGTTTGCCTTAGAATTCAAAAGTAGCAAATATAACTTTTAACAAGAGGTTATTTGAGGTAGTTACAAGTGCTTGCGATGAAATGGAACTAAAATAAAAAAACTGCAGGGAAGAAAAAAACATGAAAAAAAAGACAAAATATGTTTTAGATGATTAAACTCCAAATTTAGATAATACATGATTAACATAGCAAAAACAAGAGCAAAAATGATACCAGTAAGTAATAGAGGCAATAGCAAAAGAACCTCTCCCACTAAGCAAAGCAAAGAGAAGGAACAAAGTTAGGAT